TTTGGACTTCACTGGGATACTAAAAATTGAGTGAGAGTAGAAGATTAACATGAGTCAGATAATTATAACACTGATTTGACATGAATTCTTAGGTGAAGGGCTGCTTCAGTGAGTCCCAAATGGAACAGATCAGGCAGACATATATCCATCAAAAGAAAACTATTCAGTGATGAGAGCATACAACGTTCATTTGGAGGATAGCAGAGCAGGTACCAAAGGATCTCTCTCCCTTATTAAAAAATAAACAAAATCTCTCAAAATATCTGTTGGATTTTGTAAAATATCATGCCCACCTTTTGCTTAGAGAATGTCTTCAAAAAGCATTAAAAACTATATTCAATACAGCATAGTTAAAACGCAACTGCTCAATACTATGCTAATTTTTTTCATCAGGAAATATTCCAAAAAATGAAGAGGCTTTCTTGTGTGATAGCATCTCCATTGCCTAGTCTAGTGATCCAGAGCTCTCTGAAGCAAAAATGATTTCGTTCTTGCTCCCTTAGATCCTGTGGTAGAAGTGTACACAGCCTTGGTCAGAACTAAACAGTTTCAAGAGCTAGCCTCTACTGGACAAGCTAAACCTCAGAAGAAGAGGAGAATATGCTGGCTCATTTTGTAATACTGATGAAAATGTCAATTATTATTACAATTAACTGAGTAGCAGTTTCAGTCAGAAGTGATTTTTTAATAAAGTATGGTGACAGGAAGTCCTTTATCAGAGATGAGTGAGTCTCTCTGAAAGCCGTTACTCACAGGATATCTTAATACAAATTCCTGTCACTAAAAATCATTTCCTTATATCCAAATTACTTGGTAAATGTTTGAAAGAAACAAACTACTTCTATGTTATATATTCCACTCACTTGAAGTAATAATTTTTTTTCAGCTGAAGACAATTTATAACCCACATCTTTGAAATGTACTATTTGTAAGAAATGTATTTGTGCCTATATTTTATGAAATTATTTGTGTCTTAATCGTGTCTTTTTTATCCCCTTGCATTCCTCTCTCATGAGCTTATCCATGTAACAAATACCACTTGACTTGTCTTGGTTTTTTTACAGTAAAGAAGCAGCATGCTTTCTGTCTTTTCTGAGGATGTGTATTCCCTATTTTTTTTCTTTCTTCCAGGTCCACTCTTGTTCTGAAGAAGTGAAGCCTCAGGGGAGACATTATAGCTCTCCACATCTATCTGAAAGGAAGCTGTGAGGAGGTGAATGTTCGTATTTTCTCCCAGGTAACTAGCAAAAAAGTAAGGTAGTGGACTCAAGCTGTGCAAAGGGAAGTTCAGGTTGCATATTACAACAAATTTTTTGCTCTGAATGAATCGTCAACATTGGAACAGGCTGACGGGGAAGTGGGGGAGTCACTGTCTCTGGAGATGTTGAAATATGGCGGTGTGGCACTGAGGGACATGGGCAAGTGGGCACAGTGATGGTTGACTGACAGCTAGAATTGATTATTTTAGTAGTCTTTTCCATCTTTAATGATTCTATTATGACCTGTGATTCTCAAAACCTTCATTTTTCAGGAAGGATCATGCTTGCACTGCAATGTAATTTGTATAGTTCTTCATATTACTGTCAGGGAAAAAACTGTATCTGCTTCCTGCAGAAGTTATAAGATACACTTCCAACTAGACTGATAGATAGACAGAAACAAGATAGATAGAAAGATGCATAGAGTAGACAGACAGTCTAATTGGAACCAGCAGTTCTTCTCTTCAGATGTGTTTTATTAAGCCAAAGAAGTAAGGAGAACCTGATCTGAAGACTGCTCAGAACAGAATTCAGATGAAAACTTCACTCAGATGAAAAATTGCTCAGGTAAGCTATTATTTGTTTGTTTGTTTGTTTGTTTGTTTGTTTGTTTGTTTGTTTGTTTTAAATACATTCTCTTTCCAGAAGTTAAAACTCTAATTCCCACTTCAAACAAAGAAATGTGAAAAACATCAGAAACCTACTTTAGGGTGATCCTATCTGCTATTGTTAAAGGAATCATCTGATAGTAATCTTTAAATATTTCTGATAAGATACAAATAGTAAAGTGAAAAATCCATTGCAAGACATGAAAGAGAAGATACAGTAAATACTAATAAGAAAAGGATAGGAGACTGAATTCAAAGGACTTCCTCAGAATTTCTTCAAATTTATGTACCTGAATATATAAAACTGATATGATCTATAAGAGTTTGTATTCAAAAATGAGTTATTAAGAACAAATGCACAAATTACACTGCATAGCATATGACTGATGTAAAAAAAAAAAGGACTGATAAGAACTTATACCAATAAGAAATAAGATAACAGAATAAATCTGAACAAGACTTATTCATTAGCTACTGTTTTAGATACCAAATAAAGTTTAGCTTTGTTTTCCAGAATGGGGATTGGACATAACTGAAAATGGAGCTAAAAGAATGAGGAGAAGTTTGTAGCACTGTTATCACTAACTTTGTGGTGATTAAAGCGTGGATTGAGTTGTGCATTTCCTACTTATGAAATATTTATGGCTGCTTTATCTCTCTATTGATATGTTTCATGTGTTTATGTCTGCAAAATACAGTGAACAGGAACTGAATTCCATGAATCCGTGAGGCACCAGTGTGAAACTGAGTCAGAGACAGTGATTACCTCAAGGTTTTTCAGCAGGATTAATCAGTGATAACTGGGTAACTTCTGTAACCAGCAGTGTTGTCAATCACCTTTACAGAGAATATCCCATATCTATCCTTTCAGAGCTACTTGTCATAAGGGTCTCAAGGTAGAGTTAGAGAAAATATGCAAAGGTTTCATAAAACTAGTAGAACCAGAAATCTGTGAAGGTGCTAGAAGTACTACAGGTTGGTGACCTGAGATTCTTAGCCCAACATCAAAGCTGGCATTAAGTATTTGCTTGTAACAAATTTTTCCAGTGTTTTTGAGGTTCTTTTCCCATAAGAACTAAATGCACTGAAGGTAAAAAAATCTACAGAGATTCATTACTGCTGTTACATCATCATGATAATGCTTATTTCTGTTAGATTAGTGAGATAAAAGCACAAGAAGAATCTTAGAAAATGTAGAAAACACGTCTGAGCATATTTTAAGAACTGCTGCATCTCCTACCACAATACCTAGTTTTCATTGGAAGAAAAAATAAGTAGATGTGTTAGAAAGGAGCTGTGAAGTGACCTAATAAACTCTGCACACCCTCACTGAAAAAAAAAATTTAAAAAATGAGGCAATTAAGTCAGTAGTGCTCTTATGTTGAAGCTCAAACTCCTTCACATTAGAGTAATATCCGATTTCTTTTACCATCTTCAATTGTCCAGCATTTGATGGGATAAGATAGCCACAGCTAGAGGCCTTCAAAAGTAACTTTGGTGGAAGCAGAGAAAAAGCTATATAGCAACTGTATTCATCATTTATAGGATATTTATCAGTTAAGTCTGAAATAGACTACAAAAGTGAGCCATCTACTAGAAGATTGTATTTTCATAAAGAAAATGAAAACGAAAACGAAAATGAAAATGAAAATGAAAATGAAAATGAATTCAGATTGCTTGAACTAGTCAAAACCCCCATGATCCAATCCTGAAAGTGTTCATACTGTTGTAATGGAAATTAAAAAAAAATAATAATAATAAAAAAGAAGTGGTCTATGAAAAACCAAATGAGGAAATACTGGAGTAAATGTCCGTAATTCATGTGGTGTGTATAAATTAAGTTAGATTGCGCACACAAATTCTAATTTTTTCATGGGTAAGAATGGTAAGAATAATTTTAAAATCTCTGGTTCACCCCCCCAGAATGACATTTTGCATTTTATTTGACTTCATATCAAAACAGAGTAGAGCAGTTTTCAAATTTTCTGCTATATTAAAACTCCAGACCGCCTGATTTTCTATTTTTATGTTTTCTAAAAATTATGTCCAATTTTGAAAAATCATTCAAAAATATCTGTCATTTCAATATTAATTTTATTTCACATATATTAACTAACAGTTTATATCATCTTTTAATCCATTATCAACAAGGTCTGATGTCAAGAACCTAAATGGTTAATTTTTCCCTAAAATTAATATTTTCTAGTTATATAAAAATACTGAAAATAAAGCATCCTTATTTTGGTTAAATAATCCAACATTCCTTTTATTTACTTATTTATTTTAATTTTAATTTCTGCAACAGAACTTTTCTGCATTTAAATTATTACTGACTGGACCTTACTTTATTTTTTTTTAGCATTTTAAATATTCTTTCAATACTGTACCTTTCAAAAACTGTTAGAAAAATGATTTTCCTCTTCCATGCTTGTAATACGGTTCTGAAAACTTCACAGAGAATGTCTCGGAAATGAAATCCAGTTCTCAGGAATTCAAAGAAAGAAACTCCGTGAAGAAGTTTGATCCGGGAATGAGTGAGAAGCTCAGAAATTATTTAGACTGGAGTAAATTATTTTTTTAAGTTGGCAATGGGAAAATAACCAGCTAATGTAATGCTATCTGTAATTTGGTAAGTTATTTATTGTCCTTTAATTCTATTTGAAGTATCAACATTTCCAGTACATTGTCTTAATTGGCAGAGGTCTTGTGTGGCTTGGGATAAACCCCAGTAAAACTCTTCATTCCTATCTGACAAGCTCCAAATTCTGAAGGAGTTCCCTTTAGTTAAAGGCATCCATGCATTAGGAATATCAGTACATCCTCATTACCCATCAATGTGACACCAATTCCAAACTTCAGAGAGGCAGACAAGGCAGTAACGTTCTTTACTATATATGCCTGGACATCATCTCATTTTAATCTCAGTAACTGAACTGACAGAAACCCTAATTCATACAAAATAATACTCAGCTGAGCAAAAAAAAAAAAAAAAAGAATATTATGACTTTAAATAGTAATATACATGAAAAAGGTAGTTCATAAAGGACTATTGGACATCACACCATTAGAAGACCATCTTAAGACAATGGGAAATACTATTTGAAATCTTTCTCCTATGATTCTTTTACCTTACCATTTTGTATTCTTTCCAGCCTTTCTGGAAATCCAGGCTCCCATCTTCTCGGTGCTGTATAACTGTCCATCCTCCTCCATTGATTTCCATATTACAGAAGACCTGTGCAGTAACAAAAAAAAAAAGAGATGCTTGCATTGGAATCCTGTCATTTTAGAGGTGGAAAATGTGAATAATGGAATTATGGAAGCCTGTTTCCCTATGGATTCATGCTTTATGCCTTTGATGTCATGCTCAGACCCCATATATATTCAGTGTAATTCTCTCAGTAAAGTCTCATGTTCATTCAGAAAATTACCCATTTAAAATGGATATTTATTTTTTATTCATTTTTCACTCTTCTTACCCTACATTTAAAAAAAATATAGAGGATACATTATAAAAAAAATTGCAAACACTACTTATTCACTTTTCTTTGTATGTGGTGATAACATTCATTATTGTATGAAACAATTTTAAGATCCAACTAAGTTTTTCAGTGCTCCTAATTAAAGCAAATGTCCCTGATTTTCATTCCCAAGTACTTGTCCACAGCAGCAGAGTGGCACTGCAGCTATCCTAATTTTCATTCGACTGTGTGCTTTTATAGTTATATTTTGTTTTTTAAGGTGCTAATAGGTGAGAAGGTGGAAAGGGTGCAACCTATCAGTTTTAGCTTTTGGCATTCACATCGACAAGACAGCGCTGGAAAGTAACTTAGAACTTCAAGTTGCTTTGCCAAATCAAACGCTAATATCATTCATAAGATCTCTTATTTGATAAAGAACCATATTCCACCCTCAGGCAAAACAATTTAGATCTTTCCTTCTCATAACCATTGTCACAGTAATCCTGTGCAAGAGCTTTTGTTTTAATTTGCTCCAGGCATGACCAGCGAAGACACTGTGTAGGTACAGGAAGGAAACAGAATACTGAACAGTGCAAATATGTGAACTTCATTTAGGTTAACCACAAGAAAACCCACAGATTTTTACAAATATTTTGGCCCTATTCTTTGTTCTGGGAAGATGGTGAGAGTCAAAACATTTATCTACAAGATTTAATTTCTTAATCTGATTTACAGTGAGAATTTCTAAATGATGGATTCACTTTCCTTACAAGTCATGTGAAGCTCCCATGAATCCATGCCAATTTCTAAAGCATTAAATCCTCAACTGTACTAAGACTACTAATTTTAAAGACACACATACCCAAAAAAAAAAAAAAAAAAAAAAGCAAGTCTTTTTATTCTAGAATAGAAAAAAATGCCTACTAAAGTACTTGAATGTTTTCTATATAACATAGCAGATTAAAGGAGAAAACTGAAGAGTGAAAGAAAGATTTACAGCAGCTGTCATTGTGTGGTCTAGCACTTTCTATTGTGGTAGACACAAACACCTGCCACACTAACAGGGTTGCCAAGCTCCTTATAGATGTTTGCTGTGCACAGTTCTAGCCAACAAATGTCCTGGACTGGCTTCTGGCCCAGGAGTGTCAGAGCACTCAATCATTAAACAACTTTTAGCACGTTCTGATGTTTAATCCTCTACCAAATAAAGAAAAGGATGAAGTTACTTTGAATTTTTACACATCTCTACATTTTGAGTTTGTCATCAACAAAAAGAACCTGGTTTAAATTAAAAGGATATCCAAAGTGTTTCACTACTGCCTTAAAGGTATGAATAAGTATACCCAAGCTATTAAAAGAATCATAGAATCATAGAATCATAGAATGACCTGGGTTGAAAAGGACCACAATGATCATTTGGTTTCAACCCCTCCTGCTATGTGCAGGGTCACCACCCACCAGACCAGGCTGCCCAGAGCCACATCCAGCCTGGCCTTGAATGCCTCCAGGGATGGGGCATCCACAACCTCCTCGGGCAACCTGTTCCAGTGCATCACCACGATATATGTGAAAAACTTCCTCCTAATATCTAACCTAAACCTCCCCTGTCTCAGTTTAAGACTATTTCCTCTTGTCCTATAACTATCCACCCTCGTAAACAGTCTTTCCCCCTCCTGCTTATATGTTCCCTTAAAGTACTGGAAGGCCACAATGAGGTCTCCCCAGATCTTCCTTTTTTCCAAGCTAAACAATCCCAGTTCTCTCAACCTTTCTTCACAGGAGAGGTGCTCCAGCCTTCTGATCATAATGGCCCTCCTCTGCACCCACTCCAAAAGCTCCACATCCTTCCTGCACTGGGAGCCTCAGGTCTAGACGCAGTACTCCAAATGGGCCCTCACAAGATTTGAGTAGAGGGGGACAATCACCTCCTTCTCTCTGCTTGCCACCCCTTTTTTAATGCAGCCCAGAACACAGTTGGCCTTTCAAGCTGCAAGCACAAATTGCTGTCTCATGTCCAGCTTCTCGTCCACCAGGACCCTCAAAAGGCATATATGGAATTATTTGTACATAATTCACAGTTATGGATTAAATTATTAAAAATGTATAGTAATAATGTAGAGGTCACTGTAATTCTACTATGAATGAAACTGGTCGGATTACCTCTTAATGTACATTAAGTGCTTCCACAATATGACTTCACAAGTCAACACTGTAGATTTGTATCAACAAGCTCCAGATTTAACAAGCCATTTGAGATTCAGGGAATATCTCTCTGGTACAGAAACCAAAGCTGGAGGTAACTGAGCAAGAACCAGAGTCTTCACAGTGCATGCAGCATCCATATAGTTAATGGGTTAAAGTTCTCGCAGATGTACTCAGAGAGGTCATCAATGTGAATCTGGTAGAAAGCCCATAGGCAGAAAGCAGAGCAGAGGGTGAAGATAAAATTCATGGCAGTGCAGATTTTTTGCAGAGTTGTAGACACACAGATACGCAGACCCTGCCAGCATTTAACATGACAATTTCAGTGCAGTGCACACAGAAGTTTATAGAAGTCATCCTTGTGATGACTTTAGATGACATTAAATCAGAGTTACAGAGTGAAGCATGGTAGGATATGGAGATGCTGCAGGCACTCAGAACTGTCCCCTTGGCTTCCTCCACCTCCTGTAAAAGCAATGACCTCACCCTCATTGCCCCTTTGTCCTCATCAGCCTCTCTTCTCCCAGTAGCTGCCCTCACCTGTGTATAGCCCTGAGTGGACTCCTGCCTTTGCTGTCACTATGACTGAGGGATAATTGTTTATCAACATCATCAAACACACGCACACACACCCCTAAATAAGCCAATTAATTAGCTTAATATTTTAAAGCAAATCTTTTCCCTTCTCAAAGATATGGAATATAATTTAGATTCTTTTCATTAGAAATGAATAATTTATTTTTCATGTAGGATTGGAAAACATTTTAAGCCAATGAACAGTTGAAGCTAGAGGCATGAAAGAAAATTTGCAAGCTGTTTTTTTAAGCATATGAAAATGAGCCATATAAATGTTATGGAGCTGTAAGCATAAAGGACAGTTTTCTATGAATATAGGAAGATATGAAGAGCAAAATTATTATAACTGATAGTAACACTTGTACAGATGATGAAGGGGCTTTTGCTACTCAGTGTCAGGATGCAAGTATCCCTAAGGAAATACATAATGTAACAAAAGTTTATTTTTATATCCCAAAATATAAAATTGCCATAAATGAGGCAATTGCTGGTGGCTGCAGGTATTACAGAAGGCAACAATATTAGGCCACTTCAGAAATGTAGGAACTGTGCACTGCTGTTGTGGTAATCCAGATAGCTGAGCCTGCTTTAAACAAACAGGTATGTCTCCATGGAATTCAAGATATTAGCATGGATCCCAGAGCAATCTAACTGTGCCAGCACGGTGCTGTCTCTGGGATAATTAGTCCTGCCACAGTGATGCGCTGATCTGATTTTGAAGCTATCTCAACTGGAGTTGGTTCAGCTATCTCTGCACAGCACTGTTTTGCAGTCTATTGATACAATCTGAATGTCTGAAAAAACATCTGTTAAAGCAATTAGACTCCTCACTTGACTAACTTGAACATGCCTAGGATCAGCTTGTACTATGTTATCATTAGGGCAAGACAGAAACAGGTGCTAGCAGAAACTTCCTCAACACACACACATTCCCACATATTCTAACTAAAAAGGAAGCCTCCAAGGGAAAAAAAAAAAAAAAGAAAAAAAAAAAAAGTAGTACAGTGATACCAGCTGAGCTGTGCTACATGTATTCATTGACAACAGTGTCTGCAAACAGTGATATAAGCATGAACACTGAGTAGCTTCCATTGTGTTACTGCACTTGTAGCATCAGTGAAGTGTGTTTAGGTACTCAGATGCTCCTGTAAGTATACCAGGAACATAAGTGCTACAGTGCTTTCAGATAGCTACTGTTTTTCATTGCAATCCAGATTCTGGAACTTTACTAAGGCTAATAAGGCTAAGTAAACCCAACTTGTGCATGCAATTCTGACTTTGGTGTAACATCTGTTTTGAGATGAACAGCTTCTATGGAACTGCTTTTGTTCTTGTCCTGTTCAGTAAAGCTTAAAGGTGTCTCTGCATTTCATATCATGTCCATTCATATTCATCAGACCTTTACTGGCCTTTGCCCAAAGCACTCTCCCATTCCAATTGTAATCGTGCTTTAACAAACACTAATTCCTCAGTAAACCATAACGAGTTGACATTCAGAGGCTTCCAAAATCTGTCAAAAACCAAATTCACTTTAGAAATAAATTTTACATACCTTAGTATCATTGTAAAGTGCCTACATAGAGTTACATTAGTAATATTTGCACTGCATTCTTCTGTTTGCAGGGTCACCATTTTACTGCAGTAAGAATAAAATCACCAGAAAGATAGAGTTCCCTTCCTCCCACCCAACCCATTTGCTGGACAACACCCTACTTTTCTCTGGCAAGTAACCAGCCCATAGCCATGGTGGGTGTTGCTCTCAGTAGTGCCCTGTCAGAGGGACAAGCCTGCCTTTCTCCCTGTGTAAATTACCCTTAGCCTATTTGTTCACTTTCCTAGCTTCAGTTGGCTCACTTTAGCCCCAAAATCACATAATATAATGGAAAAAAACAATTTTATAATAGAAAATAATAATCTTCTATGCCTCACTGCAAGCTCATTGGTGGTCATAGAGGGATTCAGCTGAACTTACTGAGTGGGAGGAAGCGAGTAAACTCTTGAGTGCAAGTTGGAATTTGGGAGAGATTCTCTGTCAGTGAGAAAGAAGAATGTCTGGAATAATACACTTATCATTTTCTCCATTCTACTGTATTTTTTTCAAGTCTGAATATAACCAGGTTTATTTGTTTCAGTGCAATATTTTGAAAAATGAGAACTTCCATAGAGGCTCCAAATGCTCCTTTTAAGGTCAGAGTAACTTCCCATTTACAAAAATGAAAATAGACCATATATTTGCCTTACCTTTTTAGGATCTGAAACGTTGTTAATATAAATAGTGTAGACACCACTTTTGTTAAAACCAGATTGGTATACATCTGCACAGTCTCTGAAAGGCTTTTCTTCCTCCTTCTTCACATTCTTAAGTAAAACTGCAAAGCAGAGAAAAATACAGTAATATAAGTTACAATAGTAATATTAAGCGTGTTTGTATGAGAGACTCGTGCACTTTGTATTCACTTTAAACATTCACAGTAATAACTATACTGTGATCCTCAGTAATTGAGTAAATTCTATTAAAAAACTATTATGAAACTGTCAGACAGATGGCAGAGGAGGCACCAGCAGAAATAAGTCATGATTAAAATAGCTATATAGAGCATCCTGTCTACAGAGAGATGAGCACAGCAGATTCCTTCTGAGAGCAAAGGACTGTGCAGCTGCAGGTGTTGTGCCTGAATAAAGCTGTGTCTGGGAGGTTGTCAAAGAACGCTCCAGCAACAGCATGTGGTGGTGGACAAGCTTGCTCAGTGCTGTGATCCAAGACAGACTTCACCTGAGAGAGCAATACAAAATCTGGGAGGAGAGTATGCCTTTTCTCAATGACGCACTGCCTTTTGAGCAGCTTTGGGGCTTGTAGCAAGGGAGATGTTTGCTTAAGTTTGCTTTTTTTGGATGCAGAGAATGGTTTCATGAGTTTTACACCTACATATAAGTTGCTAGATACAGCCTAAGGGAAAAAAAAGAAAAAAAGGGTGCTCCTGAAGTCAGTTATTTAGAGTCATGTTTAGTCTTTTTATGACTCAGAACAGAAAACAAGTAATATTGGAACACTGGTGCAGATCTTGATCTTGCATATCACAGATCACTTATGTGGGCTGCCCCAAAAGTAATGTATCCTATTTTATTACTCTGTCCCACAACATCAGAGGCAAATGATAGTAGAGGTTGGACCTTCCTGCCAATATTCCATTACGTTTTGTTACCATGTGAAAGATGGCAGCAGAGGGGCAGTCTGACATGGAAGTGTGTTTGGAGAAAAGGTGTGGAGTTGAATTCTTGCATGTGGAAAAGATTGCATCCATTGACATTCACTGATACTTGCTCAACGTTTACGAAGACCAAACAGTAGATGTGAGCACAGTGAGGCAGTAGGTGGTGTGTTTCAGCAGTGGTGACAGAGGGTCACCTCTGTTGGTGCACTTGTTTACAATTGCAGCATGCAGTCTAGCAAAAATTAATCACTCTGCCAAAATAAATTGCCAGGGATGGTGACCGTATTGAAAAAGAGTGCATTGCATCTGAGAATTTGATCTATTAAACAGTGTTATTGTTCTCTTTGTATCTGTTGTAGTTTCCATGGTAATACATAGGAGGCATTACTTTCTGAGTGACCTATGTACGCAGTCTAGGCTGAGAACTCAGGAGGGAATATTTGAGGATCCTGGTTTTAAAGCTACAGGAGATTCCCTGTAGAAGGAGATGTGAATGTTCCCTTCACTTTCACAAACAAAAGTAGTCTGACCCCACACAATACCGTAGAATATGATTTCATTCCAACAACACATACTTTAAGTACATCAGTATTCCCATAGAAATCCATCAGTCTACTCAGAATCCTAAAGTTAAACATGTCCATAAGTGCTGTGCATGGCTCAGGCCAGCACTTCATTAATCCCTTCAATGAGGAAACAACATTTAGGTCCTTCAGACACATTCATTGTTCTGTGACACAAACATTTTTTTTTTCATTTCTTTTGCTTGAAAATCTGAACTGTAAGTAGAAAAAGGATTGTGTCTTATTCAGTCTCAATAAAGTGGTCTATAATGTAAATCTTGCACTTAATGATAATGATGTGCAAAAGAGCAACAGTCTTGCACAGCATGTAGGATGATCTGGGCCATAAAAGTGTTTGCTTTGCAGCTTGATATGCTAACTCACCTCTGAACACTTCAAAGCAATAGTTTAGCATGGTGAATTTCTGCAAGATTACTTGTCATTGATATCACTAAACAGATACAGAAACTGAGGAAGAAAAATTTTAAGTGTTTTGCTGCAGTGGTTTCGTGAAAAGGCAAAAATGGAGAAAAAAAAAAAGAAAAAAAAAGAGAGAAAAAAAAAAAGAAAAAAAAAAAAGAGAAGTCCAGACTTGAATTATTATAAGATTATCCTACTCTCTAGATACAGATGCAAACAAAATCCTCATATTTTTGCCTTTCTACGCATACGTTGTGCTTATTGTTTTCTTTGAACACCATCAATAAAAATAAAACTAGGTTCAGGTACTTCCATGTGAACTTCATTTGGAAATTGACTACTTTGAAACTTGGAAAAGAAAGGCAGTGCTGGTGATGCAGTAGATGACACTTCCCTGTGAGATGGGGCCCTCAGCAAGGCACACAGAACACTGCATGAAGGTGTCAGGTTATAAATAAATCATAGAAGTGAAGCCTTCATGACTCGTGTTAATTAAAGATTTCACAATACTTTTCTGTATGCAGATGGTGTTAGCATCAGTGACCAAAGTCCAGCTTGAATAATTACTTGGGGTTTGAGCCAAATCCCAGAGGAGTTAAAGCAAAGCCTCTCATTGATTTCAAGGGGCTTTAGATTAAATCCATTCTTCCCAGCCTGACTTTCTCTAATACTGGTGTTTCAACTGCAGACATTAGTTTCTTTTGTCTAAAAATGTATTTTATTGTACAGAAGCAGAGTCTTCATTTCCTTCAGTTTTAACTACTTATATTTTAATATGTATAATATGTATTGAAAGGTCATGTTACCTCTATTTTACCATAATATACACATTGCAAAACACTTAAAGAGTCACTCAGGGATACTAAGATTTGAATTTGGTTCATTTTTAACTGAAAGTTAGACAAAAAATTTAAGGATTATCTCCCAAAGTTAATATTATCTGACTTTCAAATGAAGATTTTAATTCCAAATGAATTAGAATTAGATTTGAAAATAATTTTCTCAGGAAATGAATGTCTAAAAAGCATACTTAGAAAAATATTTTTACCTTTTGCTTAGAGATTAGAGAAAACACAACAAAACTTCTGTTGACATCAGAGAGGAAGGTGACAGGGACAGATAAATGTCTTGCATACGCTCAGTTTCTTCCTTCCCTTCAGTATCAGTCAGCTGAAATACCCAAGACCACACAAAACAGATGTGGTAATTTCCTACAGACTAAGCAACCCAATTATTTTACAGCAGTGGGTTTCGTGCACTGAACCACTGTAGCCAGGAGAAGACAGCTTTTTTTGGGTGCTTGTCCTCCCTCTTCCAGAAAACCAGAAGGAAAGCTCAGCCACTTGTGAAGCTACTTGAGCTGTTACATGTTGCAGAACAATGCATTTAGTAAGACAAGCACAAAATTTTCCTGAACAGATCATGCTGTAATTTACAAGAGCCTAAAGTCATCAGAAAACTAATACTCAGGAATGCTAATGGTAATGCACTTGCAGGATAAAATACGATTTTTTTAAGGTTAAATTTTGTTTTTCTAACTCAGTATTCCATATTGCTTCCAAATAACTTCTATTACTCAAAAGATTTTGTTTTTTTTTCCATGTGGGATGCTCCAAAATATTACTTTTTTTATTTATTACATTTATTACCACAGAAACAACAATAGAATCAAGGAGAACAATTTGATAGAACAAATTGTTAGCTACGATACATTGTTTTTCAACACAGTCACCACCATTAGCTATGCTTTTTGGCTAGCAATGAACAAGGGCCTGCAGGCCACACAATCTGCAGAGGTGACCTGCTGACACTGTTGTCACTGCTGAAACACAGCACCCACTGCTTCACTGTGCTCACATCCACTATTCGGTCTCCATTCATGTTTAGCTAGTATCAATATATGTCAGTGGGTGCAATTTTTTCCCCGTGGAAGAATTCAACTACGTACCTTTCTTTCATTCACATTTTTGGGTCAGAGATCATTTTGTCAGAGTGCCTCTCTGCTGCCATCTGTCACATGGCAACAAAATGTAATGGAACGTTGGCAGGAAGGTTCCACCTCTACTGCCACGTCACCAAGACTGTCTCTGACATCATAGGCCAATATAGTAAAATAGGAGGCATTTCTTTCGGATCAGCTATTGTATGACATTGCATAGACCTGGAATCCTTTATGCATCCAATGAATGATACACTGGTTGACAAATCATGAAGAAATATTAAAAAGTAATAAAGTTCAAGGAAAGAGCTTCAAAACAAATCATGTAGCCATTGAATTTCTCTGTTCAGCTTAAACACCGCAAATTTCTTTAGCATTTTCTAATGTTAGTTTAGCTATTTTCAGATACTATACTTAGTCAAAGGTTTATGTATCCAAAGAAAAAGATAAGTCTGTGTCAAGTAAAATAATATCATGATTTTTAGACCTGAATAGTTCGCCAAAATTTGGAGACCTGGAGGGTTTTTTTTTGTTTTGCATTTTCTGGATGAATAAGCTGGTGATGAAGTCATGCCCTACGAAGACACAATGTCTCTACATAAAAACCTCCTCTCCTGATCAGAAGATTAATTAACAAGCAAAATAAATTCATTTCACTGTATACCCAAAAGACCTCTGCTTAATTTTCAGTCCAATAACTTTCTCTTTCATTTATACTATCTATGTTTCCCCATCTGCGGAGTTATTTCTTTCAATTGTCAGTTCCTTGGCTTTATTTTTTTTTTTCACCAAAGCCTTGGATGACAGGTTGAGTCCAGGTAACATAGCAAGTATCTTCTATAAGTGCTCAGGGCTCTTCCAGCTGACTGTTCCCACATAGGTGCAAAAGCCCTGGCAATGTGGTTGCTTTGCAGCTTCACAGAAGGACAGGAATCCAAATAAATGTGGTTGCTCACCCAGGAGCTCTAAGACGCCAGAGCTGAGCAGTTCTATTGCTAGAAAATGCTTAGTAAATTAGTTTGTAAGGTTCTCTCAAAAGCAATCTGCTTTTCTACCCAAATATTAAAAAATAGCAACTAACTAACGAGGAAACAGCTCCTGAAATATGTAGTAATCTAAAGTCATCCTCTGGGAATAAAAAATATAAAATATATAATACGTATCTTTTTTCTTATATATATCAAAATTATCTAGTTTGATCTACTAGAAAAAATATTTCAAAAATTATACATCAA